AAATTAAAAGGACATACTTCCAGAAGTCAACCCGCGACCAAAAGTGTAACAAAATAATAGTGCAAAATTAAATTTTGGCAACGAAATATGACATCAAATTTTAAAAGTGCTTGTTGCAAACACAAAACACTCCTGGTGGAACCTTGAAAAAAAATTTTTTTTCTAGCATTTTTAAAAAAGCAGCTATTTGCCTTGAAAAATATCTAGTAAAAATCCATTTGAAAGAAAATTCAGAACGAGAAATCTAAAATAAAGTTCCCATTAACGAAGGTCCCGCGCGCAATCACAGACCATAAAAATACTGTTTCTCTATAAATACTCTATTTTCCATCAAAAAAACTGAACACCATAAAGAGATGAGAAATTTAAAAAAACCTTTAAAATTAGTGTCATAAGTATTTTCTATCAATAAATTTTGTTTACTCTAATTTTTCAAAATGTTTAAAAATCAAAAAACAGTTGTACCTGATGAAAAATCCATAGTGGAAGCTGGAGACAAAGAATTATAGGCGTAACTCATATTTACAGTATATTTGGTTTCGGCCTCAATAATTTCATTTAACAATTAAAAAAAGCTCGATTATACATCTATATTAATAGTTATAAAGTACGGCAAACAAATCTAAAAAAATGTAAGTTATAGACCATATATAAACTGTACGTAAGTTAGAAACACAAATCATTTAAAAATTAATTTTATACAAATCCGCACTCAACATTTCTTTTCTTGTTTCAAAAAATTTTCAGAAAAAGGAGCATAAACTGTAAACAGACACAAAAAGTACCAGACCACAACCAATTCATTTCTACAACATTCTGAATAACTCTTTTGTCTTAAAAGATAATATAAATATTTTTTGATATTAATAATCATTCATCATTCTGTATAGTACAGCAGTGAAAATGTTAATTGTAGAGGTATTCCAAGCCAACAAATTTTGACTAATAAAAGAAAGCAAGCAAAAAACCTCGTTATCATAAGAACAAAATGAGCATCAACAGATGAAACAGTTAAGTAGAACTCAAGAAACTCTTGACTTCTATAACAAGTAACAGTTTAAACTTCTACTACTGAATAAAGCAGTTTCAGCACAAGAATGCAGTAACAAATGTGCTTTTAATAACACATTTAAAACTCAGAATACCATTCCGGGTAGAGATGTTGCAATAACAAAGAAAAAAAACAAAAATTTAATAGAGGGAAAACAGATCATCAACAGGCTCTTCTTTATACTCAATCATTTCTACCTTTCAAGGTTTACATTTAAACTGCATTAATAAATTTGTCTTATTGGCACCCCGCCAAAAACAACAATTTGGTGCTGTAACAGTTGAAACTTCAAAAGCAATACAAACGAAATATACATTTCAGTCATCTTTAATAGATCGGTGTAACAACGTTGGGAGAAAACGTGTAGGGAAATGGCGTGAGAGAACCACCTTCTACTCAAATCTCATCCAAAAACCTTAAAAATCTAAGCGACAATGTTCAGTAACTTAAACGGCAAAACAATTCCTCCTTCCCACACTTTTACTTATTTTTACTTTAGGACATTCATCATCGCCTTACGGAGTACTGCACAAAATTGCGAAATCTAAACGACATCAAAAAGAAAACAAGCCCATTCGGACCGGTGGTTTCACTTCTGTTCCGTCAGCAGAGTCCCCGGATAAACCCTGCCTACGACGTCGGGGATGGATCTCGCGACCCGACCAAGGCACCAGTATACAACGCTTTGCACCAACCAGCCAAGCAGCAACCAGCCGGGTTTGGCTACCCACC